TGTTCTTTGGTAATGGTATGAAGCTGACAAAAATTGGTTGAGTGACCTGTCCATGTCTTAGTGACTACATTCTTCCTTGGCAGTATTTCACAAAGCCATAGTAGCACAGTGGAATGGAAAAAAAATACGAAGAGCCTCTGTTGTAATTTGTCCTTAGCAGCCAAGACCTTTTCTGAAACGGTCAATTCATCATCAATTCGTCAGACACCAGGCAAATGATTGATTCTTACTTCAATAAGGGGTTGCGATTTGGTAAGGCTGTGACGACCAGATTTTCGTTTAGCTTGTAGATAGGTAAGCAGGCTCCTTGTTCCCCAGGGGTGGGTGCGTAGAGAAGCGTGGAAGTGAAAAGAGTAGGATAAAGGACGAGAGCCAACGAGGAAGTGATTACACAGGATGTACTTATATAATTTATAATAATATTTAATAATTACTGAGAAATGGTAGATCTTGACAACGAAGATGTGAGGCAATCTAGAAATTGAAACTGGAAGGTGAATAAACAAGCTTTCAAATGCATTACAACGCTAAGAAACATGAGATTGCCTGTGCTTCATAAAATGCTCGTCTGTTTGTCAGAGATTTTCAGCTATGACCCCACTATGCAGCATTTCTTGACTCCAAGCAATGGCTATTTATTTACCGAATCAGTGTTTCTACTTTTTAGCCAGATGCTTAATAAGCCTTTCTACTTATCATATTTCCCATAAGTATTCAAGACACTTCACTGAAAGTTCCAAGCAGAACTCTTAGCTATGTTATAGCCATGCCTGTTGTATTAAAAGAGGCTATTGTGACTCTCTAGCCTGTATCGTTTGAATCAGTGGGTTCTGAGTTCTACTTTCAGTGGAGACAACGTCACTCACTGATGGGCAAATATGTCTAGCTGACAAGTGTCAAATTAGTTAAAAAGCTAGTCACTAGTCACCACTACTAATTTTTATAATATTTTCTACCTTTCAGCCTTCCATCAAAGAAGTTCCATATATTGAATTATCAAAACGATCTATGCTAGAACTATCCATACATTATATAAAACATCCATCCACACTTGAAATGCATGTAGAGAAGATGAAGTATCTCAAAGTCTACACAAATGAAAGTAAGTCTGATTAAAACCATAAATCTTCACTTGGAAGTATGTCAGATAGATGGAAGTGTTTCGAATCGAGATTTTAGGTTTGAAGAAGTGGCATTTTGACCATTTTGACATAATTGGTTTCAAGACATGAGTAGAAATTCAGTGATCATAAATTAATCGAGGGGTGGAATAAACATGTGAGTGAGGAGTTTGAATGAAGACGATGATTTCATAGAGTGAATTGTGGGTCGCACCACATACACACAAAAGTCCTTTATACGTACAGTACGGAAAAGCATAATGCTTCCATTGAGATTTTTGAAGTGGTTCTTCGAGCTAGTTTACCGCCTACTGAAATAACTAATCAGACTTCTTGATCTAATGATCGAGCTAGACACCTCTGTGGCCAAATCGGAGTAACCCTAATGGTTATTTCGGTTGATGCTGCAATCACTTGAGTAAAAGCTGCTTCTTCTTCTCGCTGTTATCTATGGTTGAACATATGAATGGTGTCATGTACAAAAAAGCATTTCTGTACACTCAGTATAAATAGGCTTTAGTCGCACGATTTGTAGGGCACTATGCACATTCGTCCCCTTCACAAACCGCTGCACCAATGTAACTACATGCTATTCGAAAAGAGGTCAGTAACAAGTCGGCGTGTGTTAACTTCTTCTCAAACTCTATCCAATGGAACACAAGATGAGCTCAACAACCTTATTATCTGTGACTTGAAGGGAGTGTATATACGTGAAAACTGTATCAGCCCAATGTACCGTGATTACGACAAACGAGATAAGTGAATTTATTATCCATAGGAATCAAAATATAGTACAGTTGTTGATTTCACTCGATAGACAGTTATTTCACAACCGTAAACTATGCAGAAATCAGTGAGGAGTCAATACAGAGCACTTAAAATGACCTGCACAGTATGAATACCACATAAATCCTGAGTAAAGTGAATTTCTAGGATAATAAGATAATCCGACCAGTTGTGATGCTAATTTGGGGTTCCTAGTTTTCTACCTCCCTTCGCTATGACACATTTTAAGGTCACTACTTCACTTGCGTGATTACTATTTTACGTCTTCATATGTAAAATGATTTGACAAGTAAATGAGTGGTTAGACTGTTTAAAAGTATTGAGGAAAACCATCTCATTCCTCAGATATTCCTTTCTCGATTATTAGGTCATGAAAATTTATTGCGGTTAGCCTAAATAAACCCATAGGTCTCGAATTAATTCTTCAATGAACCAAGCGATTCATTTGTTGGGAAGAGACTGAAATAACAGGTTACCGTCGAAGAATAATCAGTGTAGATGAGATTCGTTCAACCAAGCCAGCTGTGAACCACCGACGTACCTTTTTAATGCCACTCATTTCCATGCTTTGCAGAATTGAAAAGTGTAAAAATGGTAACCGTATTATATTTCAGTTAATAGAGATGGGACAACTGAAGTAAAATTTCACCTCGTACTCAATAATCAGTCTTAGCAAGTGTGATGTACACCTCTGCCTTTCAAATTTCTTTACAGCTGAATGGGCTGTTTCAAACCTACAACAATGAAAAGCAGTATAAACTGAACATTTGCCTCCAGAAGTCTTCCATGATAAGGAAGAATAGGGATGAATAAGAATAAATGGGTTACCAGGTCGTCCAGTCCTATCAAACTGGTCTAGATGTCCAGTCATTCCAGTTTGTAAGAAACGTAATAAGTAACAGGCCTGGTCAACATATTTTCGAAAATCATAGGGCTCGTGGTTATTCAGTGCGTTACTATCACTGGACACCAACAAGTTCGAGAAAATCATTCAGATTTGAGACATAAATAAGAGCTAGATATTTCGGTTTTCACACTTCAACAGATTCCTGAACACATGTGAACTAATCGAATCCAAATATTTCTCAAGCGAGGGGTGTGTTAAACCATCGAGTTGTGTTTGGAATAATAGGCAGTCATATTATATTTGCTCAGGTGCTCTACGAGGGTTCCTTAAAAAAGTGTCAGGTGGTAACAGCTATCGCTTTGTAACAGGAACGTTCACTCTAACCGATACACTTTCACTTAGCTACAGATAAACTGATAAGTGTGACCTATGACATAGTCTTGCTAAATGAGAACGCTGAATGATGGAAGAACACATTGACACATTTGGCGAAAATTTGTGTGTGTGTGATATAGGTTTCCTAGCTATCGAATAAAAGGTGCTTAATGACTAGTGTCCATAAGTTACTATTTTAATGGTAGGCAGTGACGTGTTCCAATACTAAGACAGATACACATATTTGCAAAACTGCATTGATCCCAGTAGATTGACGGATGAAGAAACCTTACGATCAATACACAGCGCCCATTCTGCATCTTCAAAATTACGCCATTTCCAGTACCACAGAATGCATCAAGATTATATGCATTAGTAGCAGTTTCAATGGTCAAGATATCCTCATTTTAACTACTTTTTATATGTTGAAGAATTTCACCAGTCACCGTCTCCATATCTTATCTTTCATGCACTCTTGTCTACTCAAGTATCATCCTTTTCCTGTTTGCTTCTTGTTCCTTTGATATTTTGAAGCTCATTTACTTGATCTAATATACGTACATCAAAACTTCACATTCATTTGTCTGTATGCGTAATTCTGTTCACCTGTTGAGAAGTTGTGATAATGAAGATACTATGGAAGATAGATTTGACTTCTCAAGGTGCTTAGTGTTTCATACGATTTTTAGTTGGATACCTTTTCTAATTGTTAGCAGGATACACTACTGAAAGGTCTGAGTAGATACTGAATTGTTTTGTCTTTTGATTTATCAGTCTGATTGAATCAAGTGTGAACGTGAATATATGAATCAGCTTATGGGGCATAATTACTCTGTAAAATTAAAGCTCACTCCTACATAAACAATCTCTCCAATGGTTGAGGAGTTGATTTTGACTCCATGGCATTTCCAACTGTGAATTTCCTAGATGCTTTTTCTGATTGTGAGAGGTTTAGTCGATTCCTGAGAATATCTTCAATGGATCCACTTCATCCTGCTCCCATTATTGCTCTGTATCCTATCAATTTTACAAGTATGGGAATTCGTGTATGAAATAACTTTTGTACTCATTTGAAACAATTAGTCTACTTGATGAATTTGTATGATATAATGAGAAGACGATGAAGGTTATCTGAGAAATGTGATGTATTTGAGCAGTACATTTCTAACAATCTGAACATACATTTACTTGTCTGAAGACATTTTACATGAAGGGGGAAAATGGAGTGGAACATGGCAAATAAATCAAGATAATACGAGACTTGAAAAAATTAAGGACAGTAAAGAGGAATAATGCATTTTGACACCTACCTTGTCATTAAAGTGAGCTGAAGATTATCAAGGACAATTCCCTTCAATATACACAACAGGGGCTTGAACATCTGAGTAGCTAAGGCTTCCATGAACTTAAGTATACACAATCCCCACGGCTCCCATACAATGTTCTACAGACTATTTTGAGTTAAATTCTATAACCTGTTTCTGTTGTGTTTATCTTTAGAGAATGACGTCTGACTGCCTACTGTATTCATCAAACTATTTGAATGTGGTTGTCTTTCAGGCCACTTGGGGATATTCTCTATTATAGTTTCATTGCTCCTCCCAATGCATCAAGATGTTCAGTAATTACCTGTGTAGTGATGATACTATTGGTCTTGGCTGCATAGCATGTCTTCTCAATAACTGAGTTAAGCCTTCGGTTTGAGAACCTACTGTTTGATTCCCCTTCATCCAATAGCGTTATGTAAACACCCTTTTTCAGCACAGAATACTGATTCATTTGCAACTCAAGACAAATTCTCACTTTGTCTTGAAAACTATGTAGAATTAATCTGCTCTCTTTAAAATGTTCTATCTCTTTGAAAATCATAGCTGAACTCATCTTTAAAGCATCTTTCTCCTTCAACAATATTACTCAACAATCTGTTCAAAGTCAACCAGTCAAAATTCAGGAAATGGAAACTCGGTGTAATAATGTTCTGGTCATAGGCGAAACACTAAATGATAGTCACATTGTTGACCACATCACTATGCCTTTCTATGAGCATTTATCATTGAATGTGAGTATGGATCAACTATTGAATCATTATAATGCTATTCAAATCATATTCGAAGTATTTATTCAGACAACTTCATCTAGTCGAGTACAATGTTTGACTAGAATTGTATTCGGTTCAATTCTAAACGCGAACAATGAATCAGCTGTACTTCAGTGGAATAATTTGATCACAGAGGTGAACCAATTGGAGGCCTATAATTCACTTAGTTCAACAAGAAAGATAACATACTGGCACAGTATCAATAGATTTTGATTACATATGAGATTAACATTCTACACTTTAAGACTGAACACTTTGTTGAATGGAAATTTCAAACTTAACTTGAATGAACGAAACAAAAGAAAGCAATGCTGTAGTGTATATTTCAACGGTCAAATTGAATACTTCACTTTCAATCATTCGTTATTCACTGTGAAACAAGGAATTGACAGGAGTGGTGTTAGCAGCCAACTGGGGAACTGCTAACGAGTTGTGTAGTTTATTGTTAATGAACACAAAGTGACAAGAAGCATTCAACAATGTCAAGGTAATTAACCGATACTGTCTTAGAATTTCAGTTGTTTCATAATTCACAGACAATATTAAAAAGAATGTCTATTCATCACTTTTTCAGTCTTTACTTCAAATTCACTATCTTCTTTGCATAGAACTTCATGAAAGCGTGTCGATCTGCATACGTAACGGCAGCCAGTCAAGTGAACAAGAGTCTCCGGTTGACAATTTGTCTCAATTTTCAACACAGCTGACGGTGTTGAAACAAAATGAGATCACATGAATGATACAGAACAGAAGTGAGCTGATTTGTAAGCTTCGAAGTGAACTTAGTTGAGATGATACTCAGCAACCAACTTTTATGCTTGTAGGTGAGAACGAGGATTGAAGAAGTCATTCTGAATGGTAATTAGCATTTGATTGTTATGTCCACTTAGCATCCAATATTGAAACAACTTGGGATTTTTAGAAACGTTGTCTAGCTGACTTGCTTTGATGAGTACAAGTGTATATGCATGCGAATTCTGTTACTGTACAGTTTAGGCACTTTGTGCAGGCATCTAGACGTGGTTGGTTGTTTGGTTGGAGGTGATTGTTAAGAAGCCCTGGACCTAGGTTTCGTGCTTGTTCGATCAGGACTTGCTTGCTCTCCCATGACCAATCAGTGTCACCATCTAGGCTGTTGTATTACGTGGTCCAGAGTCTGAAGATGAATATTCAGCAATTCAGTTTATTGCATCATGTTAACCCACCATATGCAATGGATCTTCTATCAGTGACTTCATTTATCCAAAATAAATCAAAACTCATATTCCTTAAATGACGATATCCATGGCTGTTAGAGAGTGCAATATGAAAAGTGCTTTTTCTGATTACTAGAATAACTGGGTTATAACAATAAGGTAGTTAGGTCAGTTAACTGAGCAGCATTTGTTGTTCATTATTTCCTAATTATTATTATTTGTCCCTTGGGTTCCTAGTGGAACATAGAGATTCAGTAGCACATCTGTATTCCACTCTCTCCTTTGCAATCTTTTCAACCTGGCTCAACGACTGCACACAAGCTCTCATTTCTTCCTCATAAGATCTCCTCCATGTCACTCTCGCCTCGGACGCCCAACTCGCCGTTTCCCATCTGGGTTCCACTCAACGACCTGGCCTGGCGCGTGATGTCCCCAAATAGTCATCTCAGTGCATGCCCAATCCATCTCCACTTCCTTCTGCGTATTAGTTCAGCAATAGGTTATTGGTTGGTTCGTTTCCCGGCTAGAGTTCCTTGTTGCTTATTCTTTCTGGCCGTCTGAGCTTCGGTAACGAGTGTAGGCAGTTGTTGATGAATATCTGCAGTTTGTTGGAAATGCTTTTCGTAACGCGTCAAGTCTCTGAACCATATAGAAGCACATACTTGATGTTGGTGTTGAAAATCCTGACCTTGTTCTTCATGCTGAGTGCAACAGATCTCCACACTGGTTTATGGTTAATGAGCGCCTGTCTTGCTGACTTTCCGATCCTGGTTTTGACATCCTCGTCTGTGCCTATGCCGCCACCTGTATTCGAAACGATGCTGCCTAGATAGATGAAAGAGGTTACTTGCTTTAAGTTTCTCCCGTTGATGGTGATTGGTGCCTTTTGTTGTTGTTGTTGGTGTTGGTTGGATATCCTCATCACCTGTGTCTTCTCTATGTTCACTTGAAGTCCTATCTTCACTGCCCCTTCTGTCAACTTGTTAGTTCTTGCCTGTAGATCTCCGAGTTTGTCTGACATTAGACACAAGTCATCATTGGCATTTTCAAAGTCGGTGAAGTTGAGGTAGAGATCCAGTTTACTGCCATTCTATGCTCTGTTCCATGATGATGCGTAGAGTGGAGTTGCAATATTGTCCGCACATGATTTGTACTTCCTGAACCCAGCCAGCCAGGCTGTTTTGGTCGTAATTTTGAATCCAGCGGACCCTTTAGTCTCTACAGGATGATGTGGCTTAATATTTTGCTTGGGGTGACCGGGAATGCAGCATGACTCCGTGTCACTTCTTGCAAAGACTCAGGTCTCCCTTCTTCGAGGGTCCGACAAGGTAGCTCTTCTTCCAGTCAGCTGACAGGTACCTTTCCTTCCTTCCTTCGTTCTTTTCTAACCTTCTGCAGTAGTGGTGTGAGCATATTCGCTGTTGTCTCTGTGTCTGTTCTCAGTGCTTCTGGTGGGATTCCATCTGGTCTTGCTGCTTTCCCACATTTCAGTAGCCTTATGGTATCCAAGTTTTCGACTTTGGTCGGAGGGCTTGTTTCCACTGGTAGTTCTGTGGCTGGGCTGCAGGTGGTATTTCTGGACGAAGTGCAGGTGGTGGTAGACTCAAGAGCTTCTTGATGTGGTCAGCCCATCGTTTCCTTTGTTTGTCCTCTCTGGTTATCAAATTTCTCTCTCCACCTTTTATCGGTTTCATCTGTGTTGACCTCTTCTCTCCCAGGTAGTAACCTGGTTATTTGATACAATGTTGTCAGGTCTCTCCTACCTGCAGCCTGTTCTGCTTCACTTGCCAGTGTTTCGTAGAAGTGCCTTTTGTCTTTCCGTGCACTCTTCTTCACTTCTTTGTCCACTGTAGTGTTGTATATGTTGTGCTCAGTTCCCCTTTTCGTTGTGCTTCCTTGCACTGCTTCACCTTCGGCTTCACCACCTTCCTCTCCCCTCTCTCTATCAGCTTCCATGTATCCGTCGAGAACCATTCCTTGTCTTCTCCTGTTCCTTCTTCCTTCCTAATACGGTTATGCAGGTTTATTTCCGCATAGCTTTCAAAGACTTCCAGTGTTCATCCACACAGGTTTCTTCAAGGATGTTCCTCGATATCTGCCATTTTGTCTTGATGGTTGATGTGAAGATGTCCTTTATAGTTTCGTCCTTCACTTTCTGTTCTGGGTGTTGAACTTCAACTGTGGTCTATCACCAACTTCCTTGAAGGCTTTCAACTTGATTTGGAAGTTGGGTTCCTTGCACTGGATAGTGAGTGGTCTGAACCTACATCTACTCCTCCTCTTCATCTATCTGGTCTTGTGTCCAGTAGGCTGGCTGCATCTCCACCTTCTTCACATTGACATGAAATCAATCTGAATTTCAGTGTAGTGTGTGTGTCCTGATGTCTGATGAAATCAAATCCATATCGCTTTGTGGATATCCTTGTGCTTGAACACAGAGCCGCCCTCCAATCACCAAATCATTGAATGCGCAGAAGTCTGCAAGCAGTTCTCCATTCTCATTCATTTCACCAAGTGCTTCTAGACCCATGATTGCTTCTCTTCCTGTGTTGTCCGCTCCCAGTTTCGCATTCATGTCACTCCATACATTAGAATTTTGATGTCACTAACTGAGGTCTTGTCCAGTGTTGATTGCAGTTGTCAATGGAATTCCTCCTTCCTCTCTTCATCTGCATTACTTGTAGGTGCGTAACGTAGCATTGAATAACTGTGACTTTCCTTCCTTTTGAGTTGAATCTTGCTTTTATCGTCCTGGAGGAGATTGGCTCCCACTGTATGAGAGAGAGCCTTTGATGCTCTTGAGGACATCATGATATCCACCCCGCAACTCAGTGTGCTGGTGGTTGTCGTCTGGGTGACAATATCGGAGTAGATTATTGACTCGTCTCCAGTTGACAGTTTCGAGAGTCCACTTCCATCCCACCTGCTTTCGCAGATTCCTAGCACTTCTATGCGATAACTTCTCATCTCGTTTGCAGTCTGGGCAGCCTTGCAACGTTCAAACATAGTGCGCACATTCCATGTCTCCACGTTTACTTTTACTTTCATCCAGAGAAGGGGAGACACATCGGCCAAATGGCTTCCCGAATGCATTCATCAACCGGTGTCATTTCTTATCTCCGATTCCAGTGAGGAATAAGTTTGTTTTTATTTTTTATATTTTGTCTGTGCTTTGAAGTTTCTTTGGCGGTTGGATTTGTTTTACGGGGTAGGGTTGCTAGCTGTTTGCGTAAACCTCTTCTCCTTACCTGGGCTTAGGACCAGCTAGTAACTAGTGAACTAGTTAACCAGATTAGGTTGTTATTTCCTAAGCTGGACGAAATATACACTGAGTTTCTTCGGTCTTTCAGTTGTTCTCCAACTAAGTATTGAACGGCGATCAAATCTGATCTGATCTGAAATCAATCAACTTGCCTCATTTCTCCTAATTTAGGGTTTCAGATAGAGTAGGTTGAACATCATTTCTGATCACAACTTAATATATCATCTCATGTATCCAAGTGGTTCCACAATCATACTGTGTGTACATTTCAGCTGACTGGCTGACAAAATGAAGGTAGAACCCTGTGCAGAGGTGCATCGGCTCAAGTTACTACACTTTACTGCAGCACACAAATAACAGGTGAATAGCAAAGGAGTGATATCGAAGTAAACAACTTTGTGTGAGAGAATCAACAATTTGAAGATATAAGGTAGTGTAAATATTCAAGCTTTAGAAGACATTGGAGAGTGAAAACATCTGCACCACTGTGACAGATTTTCAACTGTGCCTTTCCAATCCACAGACATACAAGACAACTCGTTTGGTTAGAACCACAAAAGACATCATTTCAATTTCCCACACTTGACAACAGCAATCAAAGGATAAGTGAGTAGGAGAAGATTGATATCAAAACAACCAAACTTATGTTGGCGTTGAGAAGATAAACAGATAAAGGTGAATGAAATCATGCAAAGGGAAAAACAGAAAATGAAAGATAGTGTATACATCTAGCCCACTATGACTGAATTTGACCA